TCGGTAATGCAAACAGAAGTTTGCTAAAAAACCCAAAAAATAAAAAAAACAAAACACAGGGATCCCTGGATGGCTCAGCGGGTTAGAGCCTGCCTTTGGCCCAGGGCGTGATCCTGGAGTCCTGGGATTGAGTCCCGCATCGGGCTCCCTGCATGGAGCCTGCTTCTGCTCTGTGTCTCTCATGAATAGTCTTAAAAAAAAAAAACAAAACAAACACAAAACATTGTACAGACGAATAACCCCAAATTTAAAGAGATGAAGTAACTTCTCCCCAGTTTTTGTCCTTATTGTATTTACTGTGTTCGGGAGCTGGGATTTGAATCCAGATTTGAGTACATCCACGTTTTCCAGCAGGCGGTCTACCTTAGACTTAATGTTTAGTTTTCTGTAACTGACTATACTCGAGTAAATTACAATTGGGGTAAAAGTGGTGGGCTTTTAGCCTCAAAAATAATGAAGACAGAAAAGAAAACCAGCAGTTCATTTTTAAAAAATTGCTCCATATCCAGCGACAATGAACCCCTATCAAGCACCTGAGGAAGGCCTAACCCCTCACAATCGCATATGCACATTATGGGGGGGGGGCGCGGGTTGCAGCCTCGGCTTCAGATACTGATTATAACAGAGCCCGAATCATGACCATTTCTATTTGCCTTATTGGTCCCTACTTATTGCCTATTGGCTACAGCAAACATTTGGGAGACTTCCTTTTTCCCCAGAAATCCTGGAACTCGGGTACAACTCCGGTTTTACCACTTATTATATAATCCAACAGGTTTTCAAAATCTTAGCTCCCGCGCTGCCCCCGCAGCGAGGTAGCAAGCATTAAGCAGGCTCGTTTCCATCTCCGCTTCAGCGCGGAGCCTTCCCGCCCTCGGTGACGTTGCAAGGGCAGTCGCGGGTCCTTACTTTCGGTCCGAGTTAAAATGTTAATAGCAACGGTAACTTTTAAGAAAGATGAAAACCACAAAACTCTGCCACGACTTAAACGCCTGAGCTGTACTTCGGTCGACATTCATGCCCGTAGGCTGGAAAGTGCTCTGCGGGGCTGGGAGTCTTCCTGCTGGGGCCGGGGTGTCCGGGACCCCACGGCTCGCCCTCTACCCCACCCTGGAAGCCTCCGCGCTCGCGGGACGGAGTGAGCGCCGCCACCCTCGGGCTCCGGAGCCGACGGCCAACGCCCAGCCGGGGCAGAGCTCCCGAGGCCGCGAGCGCCGCCCTCCCCCACCCCTTCCCGACAGCTCCCCGGCGCCCCGCCCACCGCCGCGCCGACGCGGGCCCGCAGGCCTCCGCGCGCACGCGCCCCCCCACCCCGCCGGAATTCCGCGGCCACGTCCGCCGGGCCCTAGCCCCGCCCCCGCGCCCGCGTCCGGGCCCCGGGCGCCCCCGGGCTTCTCGCGGCGGGCGGTGCGCCTTGCGCCTGCGCGCCGTGGCCAGCGCGGGGCGGGGGGGGGCGGGGGGGCGGGCCCCGTGCGGCGGAAGGGGCGGGGCGGGCTGCGCTTCCGCGGCCTCGGGCGGGTGAGTCCGGAGCCGGGGCTGGGCTGCCGTAGGGGGCCCACCCCGGCGTCGGGGGCGCCCCCTGGAGGATTCGGGGTGGGGGAGGGAAGAGGAGAGTATTACTAAGTTGGGTGCTCCTGGGAATGCGGGGTATGACGCCCAGTGGCAGGCGTCGGCAAAAGGGGCTCCACAGAGAAGGTTCGTTGCTTTTCTTCCTTGAAAAGGAAACGTTCTGGACGCTGTGATTTAAAATGTACATCATTTAGGCAGGTTTGTGAGCTTACGGTTCTGCCACAGTAAGGAGGCTTTTGGAAAGGGTGTTGGTCCCTCCGCTGCCAGAGCTGGCGGGCGGGTAAGCAGAGAATGGATCGGAGGAAGCACGGAGCAGTGTAGCTACTACCAAAGAATGAAATCAAGACTCCCCTTCTATGGAATAAAGTCCAGGTGCACCCCGATGTTTATGGCAGCAATGGCCACGGTAGCCACACTGTGGAAGGAGCCTCGGTGCCCATCGGGAGATGAATGGATAGAGAAGCTGTGGTCTATGTATACAGTGGGATATTCCTCAGCCATTAGAAACGACAAATACTATTTGCTTTGACGTGGAGGGACCTGGAGGGTATGATGCTGAGTGAAGTAAGTCAATCGGAGAAGGACAAACATTGTATGTTCTCATTTATTTGGGGAATATAAATAATAGTGAAAGGGAATAGAAGGGAAGGGAGAAGAAATGGGTAGGAAATATCAGAAAGGGAGACAGAACATGAAGACTCCTAACTCTGGGAAACGAACTAGGGGTGGTGGAAGGGGAGGAGGGCGGGGGGTGGGGGTGACTGGGTGGCGGGCACGGAGGGGGACACTTGACGGGATGAGCACTGGGTGTTATTCTGTATGTTGGCAAATTGAACACCAAGAAAAAATAAATTTATTATTAAAAAAAAATCCAGGGTGTAAAAGTAGGGCTCAAACTGAAGTCGCAAAGAGAATCTAGGCTCTGTCAGATACTCTGGAGAGGCGAAGTCCTTTCCAGCAGTCGTGCCATATTCAAATTTATATTTGTCTTTAGCAAATGAAAGAGCATCTAAGCAGCAAGGGCATAAAATTTCTTATTTTATTACCTTTCTTAAGAGCTGTGCCCTAATACGTATACTTTGGAAAACGAATAGATTGCTGTAGCTTTTCCAGGTTGGTAGAAAACCCAAGTTTCCAGGACGCCTGTGAAGATTCTTAATCATTTCGGGGTCATCTGCAATGTCCAAAATACTCTTTTACTGGTAAACACTTAATACTGTTTTGTGTTCAAGGTAATAAGAATTTTTATAAAGGAACAACTCAGCTATTTTAAGGGCTGCTATTAGAGGGAAAAGAAACATGAAAGTTTAGATAATCACAAGAAATCTAAATCTCAACTTGAGATATTTGAAGATGTCTAAAGAAAACGTGTATTTAGCGTGGAAAAGACTGGTGAGTACCTGAAACATTTGCCCCTCAGCTGACTATTACCATGTGGGCATGTGAGCCCCTCATAGGCAGATCACACATAGGGCTCCCTGAGACCATTTTGGATTTGAACTTAAGTGATAGCAATGGGAGTGAATGAAAATGTTTAATGGTGATGAAATTTAGAAAAATAGAGATTTCTCCAACAGATTGAAACCTGAAAGTGGAAATTGGGAAATCTTGAGTCTTAACTGGAAAAGTAATAAAAGGTAAAGTGGACAGAGAACCTTAGAATATTCCCTGATGAGTTCAGTATGTATTTGGTACTACTCTTATATAACAATGACCTATTTAAAGGTTGCTTGTTAAAAAAGTCATTCTACTCTACTAAAATTTCCTGAGATTATCTGAAAAGGACAATGTAAAATCTTCTGTGGGGGATGGTGGGAAATGGGAAACAGATTATTGGCATCTGACAGTTTATCTTCAAATCAAAAATGATTAGCATTGAGAAATGGAAACACATGGTGTAACACTGTATTGCCTATATGAACTGTGCTTTGCTGCAGACACTGACCTAATGTATTGATTTTGGAAATCCTGTATGCTTTTTCTTGCCAGAGTAGTTATTGAAATTGAGAATATTCATTGGATCAATGTCAAGACAAATATCCCAAGTTAGACTGGCTGCTGCTGAGCAAATTTTTAATGAAGGAAAACATCCATATATTGAAATAAGACTTTAAAAAGAAAGTCCTTAAAATAAATATATATTTACTGTAAAATCTAGAAAAATGTATGTTTTCAAACATTGAATAATCAGCCTAATGGAGTTATTGACCCAAGCACAATTATAGTATACGTTAATTCATTCTATGACCAATAAACTATGCTGTGGGTACAAAGATAACCCATAGTGTAGGCGGGACGAACAACTCAAAACAATGTGACCAATATTAGAGTAGAGGGATGTGACCTATACATGATGACAAGAGATAGGAGTGACAATTGAAAGGGCATGGGAAGGGGGAGCATTGTTTCTAGTTTCAAGAACTTAGTTCTTGAAGGCTGAAGAGGAATCTGTGAGATGATTAAAGGAGAGAAGGTCATTCCAATCAGAAAGAACATCACGGACAATGGGCAAAGAGTATGTTTTTTCTGGGACCTGTGTGCAAACCAGAATAGTGACAGCAATGCGGTAAAAGTGAAGGAGGAAAATGAATTAAATTGGAAAGGTAGTATGTAATATTTTTGTAATAACTGTCTTCACTGGATGGTAAACTTTATGATTTTAGGACCTATGTTGGATCCATACACCAATGTATAGCACAGCACCTAGTGTGTGCAGTAGGTTCTCAATAAATAGCTGCTGAATAAATGAATGGCTGAATTAAAGAAAAACTATTTCTTTTACAGATAAGGCAAAGGGGACTCTAAATGTATTTTAAGCAGAGGAGTAAAATAAATTTACATTTTATGATAAGTGGTAATATGGAAGGTGAATTAATAATGGTCATAGAGGTAGCTGTAGTAGATCAGGGTTTTTCAAACCTAATGTTGCGCCTGTGGTAGTTTGCAATCTGCATTTTAAAATACAGAATAGGGGCAGCCCCGGTGGTGCAGCGGTTTAGCGCCGCCTGCAGCCCAGGGCCTGATCCTGGAGACCTTAGGATCGAGTCCCACGTCGGGCTCTCTGCCTGGAGCCTGCTTCTCCCTCTGCCTGTGTCTCTGCCTCTCTTTCTCTCTGTGTCTCTATGAATAAATAAATAAAATCTTTTAAAAAAATTTAAAATTTAAAAAATAAAATAAAATAAAGTAAAATACAGAATAGATGGGCAGCTCAGGTGGCTCAGTGGTTTAGCGCCATCTTCAGCCCAGGGTGTGATCCTGGAGACCTGGGATTGAGTGCCACGTCAGGCTCCCTGAAGGAGCCTGCTTCTCCCTCTGTGTCTCTGCCTCTCTCTGCCTCTCTCTCTCTGTGTCTCTCATGAATAAATAAATAAATAATCTTTAAAAATAAAAAATAATAAAAAATAAAATACAGAATAGAAATATAATATTAGAATGTATCACATATACTAACAATAAGAAATGTTTTGTGAAACTTTTCTTTCACTTATGTTCCTATGTGTTGACTGATGTAAGCACATTTCTTCCTATGGCCATTGATCATAGCTTGAAAGCCTTTAGAGTAGAGAAATATGGGAAGGAGGTGGAGAAGGAGGAAATGGATATAAAAGGTATCGGAGGGGCACCTGGTTGACTCAATGGGTTAAGCCTCTGACTTTTAATTTCAGCTCAGGGCATAATCTCAGAGTGGTGAGATCAAGCCCCACTTCAGGCATTATGCTGGGTGTATAGCCTGCTTAAGATTCTCTCTGTCTGCCCTCCCCCCAGCCCACCCAACACTTGGTCTCTCTCTCTCTCTCTCTCATTCTCTGTCAAAAAAAAAAAAAGAGAGAGAGAGAATTTAAAAAGAAATATTGGAGGAAAACAAATGTGAATCTTAAATGCTGCCATCCATATGAACCTTTTTCCCTGAGAGGGGTTCACTCACCTACTCATTTTATTGTTTTTGCCTACTTCATATTTTTCATTGTATATTAATAAATTAACATCCTGGTTTATTAAGAATGGCAAGGCTTTGGGGGATCTTACTGAATGTTGTAAATGTGAAATTTCTCGTGTATTTAGGTAGTACTGAGCTTAAAATTATAGGATGAGACCTCCATGATTCTCAGGAATCATGAAAATTCATTGAAACAGTTTGATTTGATTTTTGGCTAAGTTTTAAAATGTCTTTCCATAAGAAAGCAGGAAAAGGTGCTTAGTTACACAAGTAGATGGGAGGTCTTTCTCCCTACCTCGATGATTTTGCCACTCTAGTAGACTTAGTTTTTTCTGTCGGTGACATGTTGTAAGAGTTGTTCATACAAGCATGAGTTACATGTTATGCCCTTGATTGTCAAATGTGAATTATTCTCTGGAGTGAAAAACATTTTAAAACTGTAGAAATTTGGTTGTTCTGTCAACTAATACACTAATTGGGATGTCCTGCTGGTAAGGTTTGCCCAGAAAATGTAAACCAATTTTTCATTTTGGCCTAAGCAAAGAAAAGAGAAACAAAATGAGAAGACAGTTTGCCATAATCATTCCTTTTTTTTTTTTTTTAAGATTTTATTTACTTATTCATGAGAGACAGAGAGGCAAAGAGAGAGGCAGAGAGTGAGGCAGAGACAGGAGAAGCAGGCTCCATGCAAGGAGCCAGATATGGGACTCAATCCTGGGACTCCTGAGATCACGCCCTGAGCTGAAGGCAGAAGCTCAACCACTGAGCCACCCAGGCATCCCTCATTCCATATTTAAATGTTATTTGGTATTCCCTTGGTGCAACATTACACCACTTCTCTCGTATACATCTGGATTTTTGAAATCTGTCATTTCTCCCAAGTTCTGCCGCTCGTTGTGAGGCCTTGGTCAATCAGTGTAACTTTACTGAGCCTCATCTGTAAAAGAGAATCGTGTGTACAGTTGTGAGGCTCAGCTGAAGAAATGTATGCAAAAATATCTCACACATGATAAATGGTCAGTGAAAGGTAGCTGCTGCTCTGCCATTCCCATGGTCCAGAAGGTTTGGGGGCATCAAGAAAATCAGCCTCCATGGAGAGATTTGAAGGTGTAAAAACCTTGGATTATATACATCTGGATAGCTTTTTGGTTTTAGCAAATGATGTCATCCTTTTCCTGGCTCTTTTTTTTTACTTAAGGCCTTTTAAGATTTGTATTGGCATCAAAGAGCAGACCACTTCACAATCCCAATTTGTGTAAACCCTGCAATATAAACCATGAGCTTGTCAGCACGGATTTTCTGACAAAGACTTCGAATACATTGTTTTAAGAAATAACTCTTCTGTTAGAGCAACCTGCGTACTATTTATTAGACAATTTTTTCATCTCATTTAGAGACTACTGTTTGCATTATTATAAGTGGACATATTTTCATCTAGTAAATCTCGTTTCTAGGTCTTGATTCCTTACAAACTTCTATTTCTCTTTTTCTGTTTTGGAACATTAGATGTCAACGGTGCTTTGATTCAAAACAGGGAACAGGAACCTTGAAAAAATTTAACACATTACTATGCTGGATTCTGAGGAAACATAATAAAATATTGTCTTTTCTTTAGGAGGATCATCAGCTGGGCTGAGGTATAAAATTAGTGGGGAGAGATCTGTAAGTGGATAAATTAGAAAACAAGATGAATAAAAGGCTGTGGAGCTTTGCAGATGGAACAGTTGATTGCCTGGGAAAGGTAGGGGAAGATATGTCTTAGAAGACGTGATATTTTAACTGAGTAGGACTTTGTCAGGCAAAAAAGTGGAAGATAAGCATCCTAGACACCTAATTTTTATTATAGCATAAAGACTTTTTTTAAAGCTGCCCTGCTCAAAATGATTACTAGCCCATGTGTATCCCATTATTTCAGAGTACTGTTGAACTTCATATCTTAATGTGATGATTCTGATAGAATGTGCATAGAAGCCTAGCTAAAACATGATTATCACTTTTTTCACCTTGTATATAATTCTTTTTACTAGGTTTTTAAAGTATATATGCTAATTTTATGTCTAATTTAGAAACTGACATAAATATATATTTAATGTAATGCTGATAGTCATAGTAACTGTTTAAATTAAGGACTCATCAAGTTTGATTCTCACATTATGAAGAAATCTCAATACAGAAGGAAGCAAGTTACAGGTTATAGATACAGAAGTAAAATTAAATCATGAGTAGTTATTAGATATTTCTTATTAAAAGTATGCAAATTTTGTTTTATCTTTTAAAAAGATTTTTTTACAATAGCAATTGTATTAGTTTTCTTTTGCTGCTATAGCAAATAACCACAAATTTAGTGGCGTAAAATAACACAAATTTATTATCTTACAGTTCTGTAGGTCAGAAGTCTGACAGGGTTTTACTGGGCTAAAACCAAGGCATTAGTAGCCCTTTGTTAAGACATGGACATCTTTTGGGGGGGAGGGATCATTATTTTGCCTATAACAGAAAAATATGATTAGCTAAAAAACAACATATAAGCACTATAATACCATTTAGCTACAGACGAAGTTAACATTTTGACATATGCATTTCTGTGCATGTGTGTGTAAAATTTTATGAAGAATGGTGTAACACCTCTTTATCTCTAGCCACTCTTCTGCTAATCTCATTTGGTCTTATAGATTTAATTAACGCCTAGATATTAATGATTCTCAAATTTACACTTAAGCTCTGACCTCTTTCTTACACTAGTAATGCAATTTCCCACTTAGGATCCCACTTGGCAGTTTGGTAGGCATCAGTCTTCCCCAGCTCATGACAGGGCAACTCCATCTTTGCTGTGGCTCAGGGTAAAACCTGTGCTGAATCCTTGACTGCTTTCTTTCTCTCCCATCCCACATCTCATTTATTAGCAGATCCTTTAGAATTCATCCAGAATCTGATTTAACACCAGCCCCACCTGATCCATGTCCTCATCAGTTCTCATGTGCAGTATTGCAGTCATCTCTTAGCTGGTCTTCCCATTTCTGTTCTTGCATCCCCATCAGATCTTTTTAGAACAGAAGTCAGATCAGGTTCTCCTTTGTCCTCTTGCTTCCCTTCTTGTTCAAAGTCAAAGTTCTTCCAGTCATATCTGTGGCTATATATCTAACCCCCTCTTTGGCTTTCTCTCTTATGCTTTCCCCCTTGCTTATTCACGTCTAGCCACACTGGCCTCCTTATTTATATGTCTGTTGTCTCTCTTCCCTTACTATGTTAGCTTCAGGAGGGCAAGAACTTTGTTCTGTTTTGATCTTTGTTGTATCCCCAGTGCTAGACTATTGCACGACACATGGTAAATGCTCAAATATTCATTGAATGAATGCTTTATAATCTTGTTTCTCTCTCTTTCTCTCTCTCTCTCAGCATATTACTTTGCTGTTTTTTGATCATAACTATGTTGGGTAACAAGATAGTCATGGTAAGATTTATTAATTAAAGGGCATATTTTAAATAGTTAAAAATTTTTTTTTTCTTAGACCACATAGATAGCATCTCTCCCTAAGGGAGGGTAGGCCTAGGTTTGGTAGTAAGAATGTTCTGTATCTTGGTCAGCATTTCCTCTTCTGTGTTCTTTGGCTCTTCCTAATGCCACCACACTGCACACTTTATTTTTTTTTTTTAAGTTTATTTATTTTAGAGAGAGAGAGAGAGTGGGGGAAGGAGCCGAGGGAGACAATCTCAAGTAGACTCCCCACTGAGCTTGATTTCATGACCCATGAGATCATGACCTGAGCCAAAACCAAGAGTCAGATGCTTAGCTGACTGAGCCACCCAGGTGCCCCTCACTACACACTTTAAAAAAAAATGTTTTTTACTTGCTTTGGGAAGGGCAGGATTAGTAATATCTCTTTACCTTTTAGCTAGAGGACTTTTCTTTGATCCTAAAATAATTTGTTAAGAAAAAAATGCCATAGTCAGTCAGTCCTGGCCCTCCCATTGTCTATGACGTTATTCACCTAACTCACTCTTCCTTTCCCTCCCTTGTTAAATGAGAATAAATCATCATAATAATAAATGTCAGCATAGAATTGTCTGGGAGAATAAAGTGAGATGAAGTGCTGGGATTATGTCATTTAGAGTAATATAATAAGACAGTCTGCCTTAGATTGAATGGTGGTCTTCAAAAAGATATACCCATGTCCTAATCCTTGGAACTTGTGAATATGACTTATATTTGGAAAAAGAGGTTTTACAGATGATATTTAAGTTAAGGATATTTCTTTCTTTCTTTCTTTCTTTCTTTCTTTCTTTCTTTCTTTCTTTCTTTCTCTTCTTTCTTTCTTCTCTTCTCTCTCTCTCTCTCTCTCTTTCTTTCTTTCTTTTTTCGTGTGCAACCAGGGGTGTGCAGAGGGAGAGGGAGAATCTCAAGCAGGTTTCATGTCCAGCACAGATCCTGTCTTGGGGCTCAGTCTCACGACTCTGAGATCATGACCTGAGCCAAAATCAAGAGTCGATACTTAACTGATTGAGCCACCCAGGTGCCCCTAAGTTATGGGTCTTGAGATGAAATCATCCTGGATTATCTGTGTGGATCCAATTCAGTGACAAATATCCATACAGAGGAGAGACACAGAGGATAGAAGACCATATGAAAGCCAGAGGCAGAGATTGCAGTTGTGCGGCTGTGAGCCCTGGAACATCAGGAGCCACCAGGAGCTAGGAGGGACAGGAAGAGTCTTTCCCTAGAGCTTTCATAGAGAGTGCAGGCCTGCTAGCACTTTGATTGCTGACTTCCAGCTTCCAGAACAGTGAGAGAATAAATTTCTGTTGTTTTAAACCACCCAGTTTGTGGTAATTTGTTACAGCAGCCTTAGGAACCTAATATAAAAGGTCCTAGTGAAATGACTGGACCATAGTAAAATATCATTGTCACCACCAACACTAACACTGTCATGATTATTATTCTTTTTTTTTTCTTATTCATGATAGACAGAGAGAGAGAGAGAGAGAGAGGCAGAGACACAGGCAGAGGGAGAAGCAGGTTCCATGCTGGGAGCCCGACGTGGGACTTGATCCCGGGTCTCCAGGATCACGCCCTGGGCCAAAGGCAGGCATTGAACCACTGAGCCACCCAGGGATCCCCATGATTATTATTCTTAAACCTAGTATGGGACCTGAAAAGCAGTATATGCTCAGAAAATAGTGAGTGGTTGAGTAAAAATAACAGTTCTTCCTTATGAGCTTCCAGTCTGTAGGAATGGCAGTGGTATTGTTGAGAAGTGTGCTTAAAGAGAGTTTCCAAAATAGATCCCCTCTTAATTCTCTTCTTTTAGATGTCTTTTTGTGTGTTTGCATGAAGGATGTTTTTAAATTTTTTTAGGACTGGTTTTACTAGGTTTTCCATAAACTGTCCTTTTAGAATAAGACTAATTTTGTAAAAATAGAAGTCCTAATGCCCCTTTGCCCCCCCCATGGAAAAATAATGAGCAGTTGTAGTTCTAACAATAGAAAGCTTAAAATATGTCTTCTTTTTCCTATTAGAATTTATTTAGTAAAATTAATTTCATGCTGATTGGCCTTGAAATACAATTTAGAGATGTACTTTGGAGCAATATGGTAATTTATTTCATTCTGCTATAAGGTAGTTGAAAAATCAAAATTTTCAAATAATTGTAAACCCAAATTTGGTAGGCCATATGTATCATTTGTATGTAAATTCTAGTTTGCCACTGGATGCTAGGTCTATGACCTAATTTGTACTAATGTTTTATAAATTGGTATAATAATAATAAAAGCTAATGTTTATTGAGGTCTTACTCTATGCTAGGCACTGTTCCAGGCTTTTTACTTGAGGTTTTGTGCATGAATTAACTGAATTCATTTTCATAGCCATCCTATTCTCTTTACCTGTTTTGTTAACTCAAGAGGATGCTGAGGCACAAGGTGGTCATATCATGGTAGCTTAAGTTGGCAGAGACTCACAGTGGCCAAGGCTCATAACCTCTGCACTTTCCTGACTTTCCATGTACTGTCAGCTTCACTGTGGAATACGGTTTGAAATGGAGAGTATCAGTAAGTCTATGTAAAGCCTCCTCATCTAATTCCATAGTGGTTCAGACTTCAGTGTGCTTTTTTACCTACAGAGATTGTGATGCCTGGACCTGGGAATATGCATTTTTCGTAAGCACCAGGCAGTTTGAGCCAAACTTAGAAATACACTGATCTAGTTCCCATACAAACCTCACAGTTCTTTTCACATGAAGGCCCGGGGGTGGGGTGGGGGTGGTAATGGTGTGCTTATGTTAGGCCATTATTTGCATATATCTGTGTTCTAGGGTGAGCCCATTGAATACATACATTTATCTAAACTTATGCCACAAGTGTCTACACTACTATTCACTTTTTTTTATTGTTTTTTTGTAGAAAAAGAATAAAAGGCTAGCATCGGAGGATTTTTTTTTTTACCTTTAGAATGCAAAATAGGATGTATTTGACCTGAGGAAATTGTTAAGTCTGTAGACAGAAGAAAATAAGCATGACATAAAATTTCCACCCTAACGGGATTTTTTTAATATTATTTTTTGTTTAGAAGAAAATTTTAATGTACCTTGTATTTCACAGTAGAGCAATAATCCATCATTTGGGCTCCTCTGAATATTAACTACCGGTGGTGGTTGGGGGGTGGAGATCTTCCTTAGATTTGGTAAGAAATTTTCACCCATTTGTACTGCCCAGAAGCTTGATTATGTGTGTTTAGAATATAGGGAAAACACGAAGCTTGCAGTTTTACTAACTTCAGTATCTTAATTGTATATTGAATTGGCAAAAACTACGTTTTTCTTTCTTCTAGGGAGTCACAAATCACATTGAGCCAAAAAACATCCAGTGTTTTCTGCGGTTACAAACAAAATGAATATTCCCATGCTACTGCAGCATTCTCACCAGCGTTTCCTAAAAGGCCTTTTAAGAACACCTTTCCGTCGTTACCACTTCATCTTTCACTCAAGTACTCATCTCGGATCAGGACTCCCTTGTGCTGGGCCATTTAATTCTCTCAGACTCCATTGTACAGAATGGATACTGCTGTCAAATGGTTTAAAGAGAAAATTATGTGTACAAACAACCTTAAAGGAACACACGGAAGAACTTTCTGATAAAGAACAAAGATTTGTGGATAAACTTTATACCGGTTTAATCCAAGGGCACAGGGCCTGCTTAGCAGAGGCCATAACTCTTATAGAATCAACCCACAAAAGGAAAAAAGAGTTAGCTCAGGTGCTTCTTCAGAAAGTATTAGTCTACCACAGAGAGCGAGAACAAATAAATAAAGGAAAACCACTAGCATTTCGAGTGGGTCAGTCTTTTTTTTTTATTTTCCTTTCGGTCCATTCAGTAACTATTTTTCTAAATTTTCTGCTTTAAAATAAGTCTAAACATTTTGTAATCTAATGGAAATTCTTTTTTTCTTTACAGAATTTTGGGCTGGATTTTAAATGCTCCCCGCCCCCCTTTCCCCAAATATTAGTCTTTTTATGTTGAGGGGAAAATATCATGGTCATTTGAAACAAGGCTCTATATTTTAAGAGAATAATATAAGACTCCTATTTTGGCAAGAATCTGTGGCTCCCAGAATAGAATATGCATATGAATAACTGTTAACTGGTTTACTGCTTTCTCTTGGTAGTCCTTCTGCTTGATGGTCTGAAGTGAATGCCTTGTTTTTGTATTTATATCAAGTATAATTATCCTTACCACATTTCAAAATTCTACTTCTTAGGTGTTTTATTAGTCTCCCTACAGCAAGTCTCACTTCTTTCAGGTACTTTTTGTTAAAGTTTCTGGGAGTTGCTTGACTCTAAGCCCAGCCATCTCAATACCAAAATGTGTTTTAAAGGAGAGACCGTATTCATTTGCTGTCTAAAAATATGAGATGTTCACTTGATTTCTTGAACAATTGATGAGGTTCCATGATTGCAAATAAGCTTGTTATATATTTTTTAATTGTGCATTTTTAAACAATTTAGATATGTTTGGGTGGAATGAGAGCTTTTCATGATGGCAAAGTAGGTGATTCCAACCAACCTTCCCACTGAAAAGAACTTGAAATGGTAGACAAAGTGCAGAAATTTTGTGAGGATTGAGTAAATACACTTAAAAATTGTCATTATATTAGACATATATCTTAGTTTATTGAAGATATGGGATTAAAACCTTCTAATTTTAGGGTAACAGGGTATAAATCTTTAAAGATCATTTCAAAAAGAGTTCACCAACATATCTGGTACTAGTCTGCATTGTTCATACATCCTATTCTTCTGTCCTGAAGGAACTCTCATTTCGAGAGTACTGTGTTGACTGTTGTTAATCTTTATGTATTGTGTAGACAGACAAAATAGCAGACTCCCAAAGAGAAATTCCAGTTATGACAAAGTGTTTACTTATTACATCTAAAGGATATTTGAAGAGAAAACATCCCAGAAATATACAGAGTTAACCAGCAACTCAACGGTAACTAACTAGTAACTCACAAATTTTCATTGCTATTCTGGTTCTTTCATTTTGGTCTTATGAGGCCAGATAAACCTGTCTTTATTGTAGCTATTTTATCACCATCATAGATACATCACATCACATCATAGATACATATTTGTTACATAGTAACAAATGTTTGTTCCGCACCCATAAAGATGTTTAAGAAAGAGACCTGCCCTGAAAATTACAGAAAGGAGCCAAGCATACCTATGACATACACATACTTTGGAATATAATTACAATTAAATGCTTAAATTCTGTATATTTAATGCCGTGTGCTGTTCTAAACGTTGCAAATATCAGCTCATCTAATTCTTACAACAACCTGAAGAGATACGTACTATCGTATGCGTTTTATTGCAGAGTGTAGTCAGGTACAGAGTGGTTAAGTAACTTCACCAGGATTACATAACGCATAAGAGGCAGTGCTAGAACCAAAACTGGCCACCTGGCTCCAGGGTGTGGTGCTCTTAGCTGCCATGCTCTGTGAACTCTCCAAGCAGAAAAATTTTCTGCCTTTCTTAAGACTAATTTTTTCAGGATTCAGCTTATATCCTATATTTTGAGTATGGGTAAGATGAAGAAAAATTATCTTTCATAAATAGAAAATTATTTTTGCAATCACTGGGAATTTCTAGAGTAGTGAGTTGTTTTTCTGATGGGGAGATAAAGTGTACAGCAATGGGGTAGGTGGAATAATCACTGATCATGATGAAATGTGGGAATTCAGCACATTAACAACTAGGCAATGAAGTCTGTCCAAATAGATCTATGTTATTGTAAAAAGGCAAATCATATTTTTACAAAGTGAATGTGAAGAACATATGGAACTCAGAATTGTTTTCTTCCTATATTCCTATTACTCAGGAACTTAGATAAATGGTTTTTCGTTTAGGAAATGTTAAAATACTTTAATGATGGCTTCAATACATTATGAGAAATAGTAAGTAATCTAATATGTGAATAGAACTTATCATAGTGCTGATCTCATTCCTTTCATTAAATTAGGTTTCTCTCTAACATAGGATTGTCTGGGCCCCCTGGTGCTGGAAAATCAACCTTTATAGAGTATTTTGGAAAAATGCTTACTGAGAGAGGCCACAAATTATCTGTACTAGCTGTGGACCCTTCTTCTTGTACTAGTGGTGGTAAGTATTGCTGATTCTTTTTAAATTGCAGAGCAGGGGCTCATTGGGCTCCCTGTTACATAATTTAATGGGAATTTGCACAGTTCCGTGACTTCTAATCTCCATCTGAGTTTGGTCTCACTGAAAGGAGAGAGTTTTAGGGGGCGAGGCAGAGATTGGGGCCTTGGGCTCCTTAGTTTGTGGGTAGTCCAGGAAGAACCTGGGGACTTCTTAGAGAACTAGGAAAAGGGGGCCAGAAGTTAAAAATCAAAAGCCAATTTCAACTCTGTGTCTATTCAGCTGACGCTAGGCCCCTCTTCCCTTCGTTGTTTTTTCCTGGCTGTATCAGCCCCTACATGGTTCAGAAAATGGGTCCATGTCCTCAATCACTTTTTTCTTATATTGTCGTAACATCTCTTAAGCTTAAAAGAGTATCTTATTGCCTTTTATAACTTGTCACCTGTTCACATTACATGTTCAGTGAAACAAAGCTCTTAGAGGGACCATGTAATACGCCACTGTTCTCCCTCCAGCACTTAGCTTGGTGTGTCCCTTCTAGGGTTCAGCAACTACGTAACTGGCTTGAGGGGACATAGTCACTCAAAGTTTAAATTGCAGCTCATCAGAGAGAAAATGAATGAACTTAGTTTCCTCAAAGGATTATTTCAGGAAAATATCAAGCGTACCATATGAATATTCAGGAAACTTGCTTCCCTTACCCCCCTCACATTGCAGTTCCTCATTTAACAAGTATTTGAATGTTTACTATGGGCAAGGCACTGTACCAAGAAGGCACTGTCTTGTGTGATGGTACAGTCCTCTTGACCTCTAAAGGTTTATATCTAATGAGGGATTCAGACATGTAAACACAGGCCACTACAACATAATGTGCGTTGTGAGGGGAAAATACAGGGCATTTAGTGGAAGTGTTTGCTTTACATACTATGGGCTTATTGCTAAAAAAAAATAGATGATATGATCATATTTCAAGGGTGTTAGGTCAGTAGAGAGGCAGACAACAATTTCTGTTACCATCTATTGAGAACTTTAGCTGAGAATATGCACAATTTTTGATTCACTATAATAAAAATGTTAACCATAAAATAACATTTTATTTTATATAGAAACACTCTAAGTTTCTACATTTCTATTATTGCTCCAGTACCATATATTTGAAAAACAGCATGATGCTAAACTTGAGAAGTATTACTTTTTTGGCCTGGAATCAATCCTTGTTGTGCTTTGGATTCACAGACCCTTTGCAGGAGCTTTGAAACCACCCCGGCAGTCTACAACAGATAGTTTTGTACTCATTGGCCGAGACCATTAGAGGAGAGAGTAATTTCATAATGTTTAGTTCTGTATATTAGGATCTATCAGATAATAATTTCAAGTACAGCTTTGGCAGATTGTTGACTTACACAGAGATGATTTCATGTAGGAAATGACTTAAAAAAAAAGTTTTGTGTGCAATAAATAAGGTAGTTGAGATATGTGGTAGATGTATGCTCTCTAGAATTAGAACCTATGAGAACTCTAAACTGGAACCATGAGGGGAGAGATCATATCTATCTGTGAGGGACTTCTCAATGTTTAGCATCAACTTTATGTGGAAAACTTAGCTCTTAGGCAGAGTGGAAAATTAAAATCCAAGCTAGAATAGCACTATACCTTCAAATGTTGTTATATGGCTAAAGGAAAGTAAAAGTTTGAGGTAATTTCAATAGTTCCAGGTCTTTTAGTCTTCTAGAATTTGCGAGGAGTGATATTTGCCAAAATACTGAAGTAAGCCCTGGAACATCACTAGTTTTATTCCATAGGAGGCATTATATTCAGTGCCTACTGTGAACAAGCAATCATTACACAATCTGTAAGGCATGATTCCATGGGCAGGGAGCTTATATTAAAGCAGAATTTCTCAGCCTTGGCACAAATGGCATTCTTGTTTGGGGCAGCTTCCTGACACTGAAGGATGTTTAGCCTTGCCCTCTACCCACCAGATACCAGTAGCATCCTACCTCCAGTTACGACAAGTAAAAATCTCGCTAGTCATTGCCAGGTTTCCTCTGGGGGCAAACTCATCCCCTGTTGAAAACCATAAAGATAACAATGTTAAGATGACAGTAAAGAAACCATCTTGGCTGAATGGAAGATTGGTTTAGGGACTGTGGAAGCTGAAATTGGACGGGTAAGGTAGGGCTGCATCCTGAGGGCCTTTCATGGTAGGCTAAAGAATCCAGACTGGAACCTCTAGTCAGTGGAAAACCATTACAAATTTTGAGGGACTTGAAATGTTATAAATGATTACTTTGGCATCACATACACAGTGTTGCACCAAAGCTCAATAATATGAAATAATTTTGAGGTTTTGGGAGGAATGTCATAAAGCACTTAACCTGGGAATTGGCTGACAATTGGCCCTTATAGGTGTTCCATGATTATAAAATGTAACTCTCTGTTTTAGGATCACTCCTAGGTGATAAAACCCGAATGACTGAGTTATCAAGAGATATGAATGCATACATCAGGCCATCTCCTACTAGAGGTACTTTAGGAGGTGTGACAAGGACCACAAATGAAGCTATTCTGTTGTGTGAAGGAGGGGGATATGACATTGTTCTTATTGAAACCGTAGGTGAGTGTGATTTTCTATTTCATAACAATAAAATACTATTATAACAAATGCTATATAAAGATAAGTGATAACTAACATTGTGTTCACTCACCATATATTTACTAAAGGTAGCTTGGATTCTATAGGTGATATAAAAATACAGGCTATAATCCTGACCTTAAAAGAACAGCCATGTATCTGGAGAACTGTTATACAGAGTGGTATGTTGTAAGTGCCAGAGGAGTACTATAACCATTGGAAACAATACTTAATTCCTGTTTTGTTTAAGTACATTTCACATGTCTATAATATTTGCTGAGAAAATTCATGTAGTTGGGTATCTCTTTAATTCAGGGCCATGTTTTATTTCATCTTTATATCCCTAGTACATAGTTATACACAACAAAAATACTGAAATGGAAACCCCAAGAAATCTACCTGCTTATGGAAAGATAGTCTCCTGTTACTGAGTGATAAATGTTTGTGACACAACCTGACTCAGGTTTGAGGGATCAGGAAGACTTCCAGGAGGAGGTGACAGTTGAACTTAGTGTTGAAGGAGGAATTGGAGTTAAATAGAGAAAGTGGAGGAGACGGCCCCTTTACAGAACCATGGTTTGCTCAGGATACTTGGCGTGTAGAGTGTGGAGATGCATAGAGGGTAAAGAGAGATGGGGCTGGAGACCAGAAATGTACAGGCAAGTAGTCCCAAGCAGGCCCGGTAGTTCCACCGTACCCTCAGTGTCTCTGGCTTCTGTCCCTGCTCCCCATTCTTAGCACTTAGTTTCCATACACAGGATTGCTCTTGGGGCTCTGACAGTCACATCCGCATTGCAGGCAGGAGGAGGAGGGGGGAAGAGGGAGAGTCAGAGGGAGGGGACCAGGGCCTGCAGAGGAGGTGTACCTCCTAGCTGGGTTAGCCCCCTTCAAGAATTTTCCTGGAAACCCCATCTAGTGACTTCTGTTTTCACTCATTAATCATCTTTAGATGAACTGGGGTCTGGTGATGTGGGCTTTCACCTGGTGTGTAGGTGCTCCTCACAACGCCGGGGTTAGGAAATGGGGAAGAATAAATATGGGCTGGACAACTAGAAGTCTCTGCCAACCCAACAAAGGACAGAATTTTGAGAGGAGTTTCAGTGTAGCAGGTGATGTGGGAATCAGATTTAAGTGAACTGAAATTAATGTGAAGTAATGAACATACATTGATTTTTTTTTCTGGATACTTAGCTATAAAGAGAAAGTGAGAAATATGGTGATAATTGGAGGAGGTTGTGAGTTTTGTCCTGCTTTTTTCTTGTCTTGTTTAGTTTTCGGATGGAAAAGACATGAGCACAGTTCCTATGAGGTGCTGAAGGGACAAGAGGTGGGGGACTGACGAGAGGTCAAAGACAAAGCAGAGCAAGGGCCCAGAGGAAGTGGGAGGGAAGGAGAGGCTAATCCTCAGAGATCTGAGAGGTGCCAGGGAGCAGAGCTGGTATTGGAACCTGCCTGTCTCTGGAGGGGCAGAGGGAGAAGCTGAGGGAGCCCTCACCTTTATTTCACTGCCAAGTGGATGCCATGATCCTCCTTGTGGGGGAGGTCATGGCACTGTGACAGGCGTCTGAAAAGCAGCTGACTGAAGGCGCTCATGGGCATTGCTTTGACCAGGCAGTGCAGGGCGGGTGTGGCAGATGGTAAATGCCATGGCCCTGTGGTGGTGCCTCTTCTCGGCCATTTCTCGGGCATACTTACAGAGGAGACAACACAGGGAGTTGGACTGACCCATGGGTGGGTGGGGGTCTGCAGGGCTCCTAAGACGATGACAAGACCAGAACGCTGAATGTCTTGACAGGCATGGTCTAGGTTAAGTGAGGGAGAGAGGAGAGGTCACAGGGCTTCTCAAAGGGAAGGCAGTGCATTTAATAAATTCTTTAGAGGTGGGGTGTTTAAAGTGGGATCTGCTTGAGTGTGTGACCATGAGTACGAGTGAATGAAATGATGGTCAAGGTAGTTGAGAAAGTCTAATTACTATGAATATTTTAGTATATAGTTGTGATTTACAATTTCAGGTGTGGGCCAGTCGGAGTTTGCTGTTGCTGATATGGTTGACATGTTTGTTTTACTGCTGCCACCAGCGGGAGGAGACGAATTGCAGGTGATTATGTTGACTTTTTCTCCTTCCAAGACACAAAGTATACATCTCTGAAAGTACAAATTTCCAGTGTTGTGTTTCTGTAAAATAAGTTGCTGTTAATGTAGGAAAAGAAACAGCATATTTCATATTGGCTAAAATAGCTAAGTCAAAGGCAGATTCTCTATGTTTCTTCCCAACTTAAAGAATTTATGACCTAGGGGATCGCTGGGTGGCTCAGCGGTTTAGCGCCTGCCTTTGGCCCAGGGCGCACGGTCCTGGAGTCCCAGGATTGAGTCCCGGGATCAAGTCCTGTGTCGGGCTCCCGGCATGGAGCCTGCTTCTCCCTCCTGCTGTGTCTCTGCCACTTTCTCTATGTCTATCATAAATAAATAAAATAAATCTTAAAAAAAAAGAATTTATGACCTTGAGCTAATCATACAGCTTAGATTTTTCTACCTGCATCTGGGAGTGAATGGAGTACATGGAGAGCTCCAACCAAAAGAGACCACTGCAGTGTAGGTGTTTGTAGTACAGAGATTGGGGCATTTTTAGCTATAGGGTCATTTTTCCTCAAATGCAAATTGAAAAAAATGTTAAACGTGAAGGAAAACTTCAAAGACTTTGTTTATGGAAATGCAGATGTTAGCGATGGGTGTCTTTTCTTTCTAAGCACTTGATGCTGGATGGTTTTGCATTCTGCAGGGTAGCTCCCCCCCCCCCCCCCCAGACGGAATCCATCATGAGACAATTGGAATTGTCTCCTGCCACTCATTCAGGTTGTGTCTTGATGGTATATTTACTGGAATCGTGAATGTATTTTAACATGTTAGTCTCTAAATATGGAAGAGAGAGTATAGATGACTTCCATAATCCCAACAACTGGTACTTTTGGGTAACTTCTCTTGAGTAATCATGATTCCTGGTACCCAAGGCTTGGCCAGTTGCAGAGGAAAAGTTAGCTAATGAAGTGTGTGACTCTTGAAATCTTAGCATTGACTGGTGTCCCATTTTTTGCTATAATTAAATGAAGAATTTCTGACACATCACTGTCTTTTTCACTTCAGGGTATCAAAAGAGGTATAATTGAGATGGCAGACCTGGTGGCTGTAACTAAATCTGATGGAGACTTGATTGTGCCAGCTCGAAGGATCCAAGCAGAGTACGTGAGTGCACTGAAGTTACTCCGCAAACGTTCAGAAGTCTGGAGACCAAAGGTCAGTTTGCATTCCGTTCCGCGTTTCTCAGCCTGAGTGGACTGTGCACAGGTTAGGAGAGGATGTGAGGCCCAGGCTAGATATATAATCCATCTTTGTTTGCTTGGGTGTGAGGTTACAACTTTAAAAATTATGACAAAACCAGCACAGATAGTCATGATTTTAAATATAAGCCTTCAACCGCTAGGTGTCAAAAATTAGATGCAAGGAGATAGATTAGATTACTTAATGCTCGACTTGAGCCATTAGGAAGTGATAGCAAATCCATTCTGAAAGGAACCATTCTTAAGATTATGGAGCAATTAGTGATTTGATTATCTATATTAGAGTTTGAGTAGGAGAGAAGAAGCTTTTGATGTGATAGCTTCCCTTCCATTATGCTTGCTGGGTGCTATCTTCAGTAAGAAAAAAAAAAGAAAAGTTCTGTAATAAATGGTATGATAACACTGATGTGGGCAGCTTTCTGCGCAGGAGGACACAGTAATTAGAGAGTAAGCTGTAGTCACTAGCGTGAGAACAGCAATGACCTCTCTTATTGTCCGCCCCCCACAGTCACGTTGTCTACACTGGGTATGGGGCCACCTTGCCTGTGAGTCTGTGCCGGTGCAGGTGCGGGGTGCTTGGCTCTTAGCACTTGCTGAATCAGGGAACTCTGACACAGGGAAGGGGGCTATTTTCCCAACTTTGTTTCATTTTCTAGCACTCAGACCTACCCAGCATTGCCCTCATCATCCTCATGACCCTCCCACAATTCATCTACATTTCCTCTGAAGACCAGCTGAGCAATCCTAAGTCAAATTAACCCTTGGGCTAAAAATTTTGCCCTGAAATCAGTATCTTGTTTCTGCACGTATTAGTAATCATAGTAAGTGACCTCAGTCTATTTCTGGGTATATTTTACTTGACACAGTGATAAAATGTCTCAGTTTTCACTTACCTATTTTCATACACCGTAAGACTCAATTGGCAGATACCAGAGTCCCTATGAAGATGTTTCCTACCGTTTTAAGTAAAACAGTTTTGGTTTCTTAACTTTTCAATAGGTAATTCGTATCTCTGCCAGAAGTGGAGAGGGGATCACTGAAATGTGGGATAAAATGAAAGAGTTCTGGGACCTCATGCTTGCCAGTGGAGAGCTGATGGCCAAACGACAGAGGCAGCAGAAAGTGTGGATGTGGAATCTCATTCAGGAAAGTGTGTTAGAACATTTCAGGACCCATCCCACCGTCCGGGAACAGATTCCTCTTCTGGAACAAAAGGTGCTCAGTGGGGCCCTGTCCCCAGGACTAGCAGCAGACGTGTTGTTGAAAACTTTTAAAAGCAGAGACTAATGGAGTTTATCCTATACAATGACTTTATCTATCATTTCATAAAGTATTTTAATATTAACAGTCACTTGAATGCTTATGTTTTTGGTAATTCTTTTGTGGTGCCCTTGGCCTCGTTTGTGAACCATGCTTAAAAAGTTGAAGAACATTGGATATGGCTGGCAAAGTTCAGGCCGTCGGCAGTATTTATAAGGGGCCTCTTGTATGTTACTGATTTCCACTTCTTTCTCTTCTTATACCCATGGTAGCTGGTAGGATAGTTCCTTCTCATCAGTCACTAGCAGAGAAAGCTGAAGAGAATGGGGAAAGCTCATGTACCTTCAAATGTTTTCTTTGATTCGTATTCTCTTGAGTATCCAGAGGAAACGTAAGCAAGACTGACCACATTTCTGAATTCTTACTTCAGGCCAGAATCATACACAATGGGTTTCTAAGAGGTGAAAGTCATGACTGATACTTAGTGTACCAGACTATTCTAGGAATTTCTGAAATGGGCATGTACATGAGTAACAAAACAAATGGGATGTGTAGTGATGTGAACACAAGTTTAAAGTCTACTTGTCTAGACTTGTGCACCACCCCCGCCCCCATAATAGGTAGCAGAGCCTGAAGGGAATTAGGGGAAATCAGCTTCAAATAATGAGGCCCATTAATCCCTAACAGTTGGAGTAAACCCTCAAAAGACCTAAGTGAGGTCCCAGTGATTCAAGAGTTAATTCAGTTTGAAATTATCAAAGTCTTTTGCTTCTCTTCCTTCTTGGTCATTGGACTTCATAGTAGCATCTTAAAAATCTATCTTACTCCTGATAAGGAGGAACAAGTTTTGTGTTCCAGAGGAAGCATGGCACAGTAATAAGGGGTTGGGTTCTGGTGTTGGACTGTGTGGGTTTAAACTTTAAACCTAAATCAGTTGTTTATTAGCTGTTTAAGTTTAGACAAATAACCTACCTCTAAGTTTTAGTTTCTTCCCTGCTAAAAGGGAATTGACATGTTAACTTTATAGGTTTGATGAAGATAAATGAGATAACTCAGGAGAATCATTTTGCTACTGTGATGGTACATGGGGAATATCCAGAGACTGCTTGCTATTATTATTATTTTAGTTATAAATACTTGAAGCTGTACCAATCTTATATATAAGTTGAATTTTCTCTCGTGGTCTTACAATTACCATCATGCTCTTGTGATGTTTTATAATTCTCTTTAAAGTACCTGCTATAGTTAATCTTTAAATATATTTTATACTGTTTGATGGTAGGTATAAGTTTGTACATCTGAATAAAATTACTTCTAACCATAAAATTTCTCCATTGCACAAAATTTCTTCCCAGAAATTCCAAACCTATACTATTCTGAATCCTTTAGAATATTTTACATAGTATGTCAGTTTTCACTGTTACCCTCTTATCTGGAATTAAATTACTTGAGTATTGGGGATGCCTGGGTGGCTCACTGATTGAGCATCTGCCTTTGGCTCAGGCCATGATCCCAAGGTCCTTAGATCAGGTCCTGCATCAGCCTCCCTGCACTCTGCCTATGTCTCTGCTTCTCTTGTCTCTCATGAACAAATAAATAAATAAAATATTTTTAAAGAATTACTTGAGTATTATTTTAGCAAACATTCCATAATTTTTTAAAAGGATTTCTGTTAGTGGCATACTGTTAGTGGCATCTTATATGAGGGCCAGGAGAAACCAAAAGATTATCCAGTCAATTCACCTAGTTTTAGAAAGGACAATCATTAAACTGGATGAAAACCTGTTTTTAGAATCTTCCAGAGAAAGAATTTCATAATTTCTCTTAGTAAACTATTACAAGGAATGACAAGCCTATCATTTGTGGCACAGTGTAGGTGGCAGTGGAGCATATGCACCTTGCATTATGAAGAAGGTGGCAAAAGGGTGGCTTTTGTTAGCCATCAACTTAGCTATGCATTTCTTTTCAAGTTTGAATTACTTTTAAATGTCACAAATATAGTCATAAAAAGCATTGGAACCCTCTCCCCTTTGTCCTGTTTATGTGGTTATTGGACCACTGGTTATAATATAGAGACCAATTTCTAAGATATCGTTTATTTTTTTTAAATTTTTTAATTTTATTTATTCATAGAGACAGAGAGAGAGAGGCAGAGACACAGGCAGAGGAAGAAGCAGGCACCACACAGAGAGCCTAATGTGGGACTCGATCCTGGGTCTCCAGGATCACGCCCTGGGCTGCAGGCAGCGCTAAACCGCTGCACCACCGGGGCTGCCCGATATTGTTTACTTTTATTTCTGTTATTTGCTATCCTGGAAGCTGTATAATATACGAAAATGTTTGTGGCCTTTAAAAAGGGAAATTCCATGCTCCCTTTTGTTACACTTGAAAATGCCATCCTGCCCTGCCATCTGTGATTCTATCGTGCAAAACCCTTTGCCTGGTCAAAAGCATAGGTTCTGACTTGTATTTATGAGGTCAGATTTCAGCTGTCACTAACTAGCCATATGATTTGGGGCAGGTTTTTGCTCTTTTATATGCACCACTTTTCTTATATTTACAATTAGGGTAAGAATAGCTACTCTGCAGCATTGTTGAAATAATGAAATGAGAGGTTGTATGGAAAATGTCAACACTCAATAATTGGTAGGTGATGGGAATATTATACATGGATACTCGTGACAGCTCGTTGTTCTATAAAACAAACTAGCATCATTTAAATTGAGTTTGGCCAAACTACTTAATTTCCCTGTGTCCCAGTTTCCTTGTTATGAAATGGGGTTGACAGTGGCATCCACCCAGAGCTATTGAAAGGACTCTTAGTTAATATATACGCAGTACCTGGACATAGCGCTAAATAAATATTTAAAGAGTAAAATATTTAACTTCTTAAGGTGTTTTAAGGATTAAATGAGTTAGTCTCCCCTTATCCTAAAAGAATAATTCTTTTCTGAAAAAAACCTCCTGGGTTGATTTTGCCTTTGTCAAAAGCATAATTACCATTAATTTCTGTAGGTAGGTAAAAGGTGCTCCGTTCTAAGCTGAGCTCCAAAATTGATAGACATTTTGCTAAAACAGTACCAAATTTCATTAACTTGACTACAATTATTTGTACAGTTATAGCTGCAGTTAACATTACCTATCATAATACAACCTAGCAAAGAAGCCTCTCTTTATAATCACTCTATAATATGGCTATTTACTTCTTTCCTGAGCACACGTAGCTTCCCAGTATACACAGAAGACAAAAGCTAATGAACAACAGGCATAGGATACTCCGTGTTTATGCAGTTTAACCTTTTTTTAATACAGAAAAAAAGGAGCAAGAGGAAAAATCAAAATAATTGTTAACATTCTGCTCACCCAGTAGACTGCCATCATAGAAGTCATGACACTACTGCTAAAAATTAATAAACCTACAAGGACTTTGAGAAGTGAAGCAACTTCTATGATTTATATGTTTGTGCAGATGGTGGAGCTCAGCTGCTCCCGAAGCCTGGAAGGCCATGTGGGACTATGCTCAATAAATGCAACACAAATGCATCCTAAGCCAGACTTTAGGTACCTCCTCGGGAAGTTGAGCTCTCATCCTCTAAGGGGTATATCTAGGGCACCGCTGGCACCGCTGTAACTCACATAGAATTTTGGAAGGATGGCTGGGACCAGTACTTGCTAAATGTTAACACTGTTAGGTAAAACTAGGCAATTTACTTAGCCACCTCAACTTCTTGATGAGAGTGAGGGAGGGCACATGAAAGTCCATGAACTGTTTTACTCACAGCAAAGCTAAATGCTTAATCTCAAATAGTGTTGCTTTTAACCAACACAGAGGATATCATGTGACCTCATCCTCAAAGCTCTGTCATACCTGCCTGGCCAATCGTAAGATATGGTTAGATAGCTTACGAGGACAATAAAGCCATTTATCGGGCTCCTACTTAAATGCCAAATCTTGTTACATAGAGAACCCAACTATTTCAAGGATGAACACTCTTTTCTTGTGACTAAACTCACATTAGGTTTGACACTCAAATTTTGCCGACTTGGGATTCCATCATATCATGCAGGATCTCAGTCCCCCAGGAAGTCCTCTTCTCACATGTTTCTGGAAGTCTCAGGGGCTCCTCGCTGATTTACAAATAGGCTCATACTCTTGGCTGCAGCATGCTCCTCCCAGGCTTCTGTTGGGCCTCCACTATTTTAGTTGCTGCCGTTCCTGTAGGATAATGCTGCCTTGCTTTGATGTACCCAAACTGTGAAACTCTTAAGTTCCCAAAATAGTTCTGTGTTCCCAGAGAACAGGATGCTTTCCTATCTCCTCATAGGGGCTGGTCCCCTGGGTTTGGGTAGGGACCGATTACCACACATTTCTCCTTGTACTTAGCTCTCCTGTCTCCTCTCCCAGGACTTAAGTACACAATCTCTGCAGAAAACTTCCCCCTCACAAGTCCCCTTTTCATAAACCTCATAAACGGTTTCAGGGGAACTTCCCTTCTCTCCATAGATCCAATTCTGAAAATCTTAGGGAAGCACTCAGGCTGACCTGCCTGAAAGGTCATAAGTTCATCTCCGTGGCGAGTGGTGTGGGTACTATGATTGCCTGGAAACACCTGGATGGCAGGAAGACTCCAAAATAACTGGATTGCTAATCACAGAATAAAGTAGGATGCCAGGCAGACCAAAAACATGTTTACTACAGATGCTTTTTTTCTTTTCTTACGGATTTTATTTATTTATTTGAGAGAAGGAGTGTGTGTGTGAGCAGGGAGAGGGGCAGAGAGAAAGGGAGAATCTCAAGCAGACCCAATGCAGAGCTCGATTCTATGCCCCCAAAATCATGACCTGAGCCAAAACCCAGCATCAGAAGCTTAACTGACTGAGCCACCCGGGCACCCCTACTACAGATGTTTTCATCTGTTTTGTCTATTTTGGACTAAGATGAGATATAAATAAATGTTATTAATGCATTATATTAAGAGATGTAATCTTTGTGAAAATGATTTTTAACACCTAATTGTCAGTAATATATCACCAGAACACACGTGACGTTCACGTAGTCAGCTGCCACTTAAATTCACACTTAGGTGGCTCTGCTACTCTTACTTGTTGCAAGTACCTTTCCCTAATCCAGTTTTACGAGTATTTCCCCACCCCCACCACTAGGTTATTTTGCCTTCCTTAGAGTGAAGATGCATCTGAAAACAAGAAAGGATCTGTACCCTGGAAAGGGATGGTTTTAAAAAGTGTGGTATCTTTTAAGTATTATTTCCCTTTTATGTCAAACTGGTTAATAGGATTTTAGCATAAGTATCCCTTCATACAGTTGGAAAAGCTGCAACTCATGGCAGGCAATAAATTTTGGAGAGGGGTCTTTTGATTATATGGCTGACCCACACAAAACAACTCAGGAGAAGATAGATTCATTTTGATTATGGTGATCTCATGAAAATCCAAAGACAGGAATCAAAGTTCAGTCTTCAGAAAAAGAGGCAATGACAAGGACTTACATTTCAAACTCTGATATGTGAAGGACTTGGAAGTCTTCACTCCTCTCATCCTTACAACTTAGCAAAAACTGGCCAAACTAAAAATTAATTATTTTTCTTGGACCTATAGAGAAGCCACCACCCAGAAATCTGAAGATACAGGTACGGCAAGGGAGTCACAGCCAGGCTCTGCTTATCTGGAGCAGAGACTGTTAGAGCCATAAACTGGTAGGAATGCTTTAGCGGTTACTCTGAAGAACTGCTGAAGTCTGAGTGTGACCCAATGGGAGCTTGAGAAACTCCTGGAGCTGTGGTCTTGTGGGAGCCCACACACTTTCATGGACTTTACCTGTAGGAACTGTGCTGTCACAGTGAAGACCCAAGAAAAATCCCCTTGTGGCTCTGGAAAGAAGGGAAGAGTAATAGTCTGCAGGACACCCAGGATCTTCTCTGTAAGGTCTGGTCTCCAGAAGAGACTTTAATGGGGTCTTATCCCAACTAGGATAAGGACATTCCTCCCACCCCCCAGGGTTTGTTTTTGGTTTGTTTTGTTTCGTTTCTCCTCACCTAATGTGGGAAAGGGAACATGGTCAACAGTGGTCAGGTCTTCAAGGGAATAGATTGGAAATCCTGTAGCCAGTGAATGGAGTGCGGAGTGCGGGGAGGGGAAGCTATACTACAGGAGAAAGCCTGTAAAGGTCATAGCCCAAGGACACAGGAGACTGATACTTAAATCAGTAAGTATCAGACTGATATTTAAATATTTAAAAGACTGATGTTTAATCATAAGATTATAGAACACCCCCCACCCCACATTATTGTCATGCCAACAGGGCTTTGGTGTAATGACAGTGAATCACAGCTGAAAGAGTTCTACAATGCAGACTCTGAGGAGGAGTACCTAGGGAAGCCCAAAGTCAGGAGGGGAGGCAAAAACAACACCAGAGACAGCTGTGGCCTCTGGGTCGTCCAGCTGCAGCATGCACGAAGTACACACCAACCTTAGCCAGATTAGCCTGCTTACCTCAGTTCCTGTTATTGAAGACACCGTGTCTGGATTTCAGCAATTACAAGACATGCCAAAAGGCAAGAAAAAAACAGTTTGTAGAGACCAAGCAGTCAGAATCAGACTCAGATATGCACACGTTTTTTGTTTTATGGTTTTTGGTTTTTTGGTTTTTTCATCCTTTTCTCTTGCATTTCAGTTTGGAAAGTTGCTCGTGGCCTATTTTTAGGCTTACTGATCTTTTTTCTTGGCCATGTTGAGTCTACTGATGAGCCCATTGAAGGCATTCTTTTCTGTCAGGGTTGTGTTTTTTTTTTTTTTTTCCTAGCACATCCTTCAAAAAAAAATTTTTTTACGTCCCTCCCCACCCTAAATAATCTACTCTTTGACCTCCCGATATCTGCCTTCCCTCAAGACGGTGAAAACCCACAAAACAAAAGGAATACGAGAGATTTCTCGTGTTTCTCTTGTGATGGTAACTTGTTTCTGTTGGTATTCCACAATTTCTATCATAGCCTGGCACTGAACTCAGGATTGGCTCTGATTATCCCAAAGGATCTAACTTTTACAAGTCAGGGGGGTTGAGTTCCTTTAAGAGGGATTCGGGGAAGTACAGAGTATCCTAAGTGATTAGCCTCGT